ATCAAGATCCTCAATCTGTATAGGTTCTGTAGGTCTGAGCACACAGAACTGAGTCCCTCTCCATCATTCAGGGACTTCAGGATGGGCTCAGATGTACACCTGTGGTTTATCCAACTTCCTTGTCTTCCTGCTGTTGGGTCTGACATGCTGGAGTCAGGCATTGATACCTCCATTAATACTGAGAAAAGATTGAACATGGTCATCTCAGCTCTCTCTGTCTCTCTCTGTCTCTCTCTGTCTCTCTCTGTCTCTCTCTGTCTCTCTCTGTCTCTGTCTCTGTCTCTGTCTCTCTCTCTCTCTCTCTCTCTCTCTCTCTCTCTCTCTTTCTCTCTGTGTGTGTGTGCTTGCCTGTCTTCTTTTCTCTCATTTCCAATTTTACCAGAGTTAGGGGTTTGACATCACTAAGTGAAGTCTCTCTCAGTTAGTGGGTCTACAAACAGGAGAACTTGCCAGGCCACCCACCTTGGCCACATGCTCTCTAGCCCCACCAGGACCCTGAAGATGCAACAGGGCACTCTGGGTAATGGGATGCAAAAGGGTGCAGCTCTCCACTTGCTTCTCTGGGCCTCTGGATGCCTGGCTCTGCTACAGCTAGGCAAGCGGCTTTGGAATTGTTGGGAAGAGGGTGGAGAGACGGGGTGGAGGCTTTCTCTAGGCCAACCACAACTAACTCTTTGACTCTGTCCAACAAGGCCCAGACAATACAATTATCTGGCTAGTCTGGCCTTTCACTGAGAGGCCAGCTTAGACTAAACAGTGGCTTGTCCTAAGGCTTCTTTTGAGTGCTGGAGGATGCATGTGAAGTTCCAGGGGGTTGGGGTAGCTTATGTGACCCACCCACTAATCCACATGGGCTGAAGACAAGCCATTCAGACTTCAAGAAGAGTTTGAAAAGGAATGTCTTTCAAGGACAAATGCCCAAATGACATGCTAATTGGTTGTCTGGCTAATTTACTTTCTGGCTTTCCATGGCTGGAAATGAGAATGATGAAATCAGCCAACATTTTCCAGCAGATTCCTGAAGTGTCCCTAGCATCCCTGTGTGGTTGTAGCAGCTCCCTTGGTGTTTGTCCCTGCACACAGATGTGGTACCTGCCACTTGGGCTGAAGGCAGTGCTAAGATACAAGGGGGAATGAGAACACACCTCATAGTTACTACAACGGAGATGGAGTAGGTCTAGCTTGGTTGGCAACTGAACATTTGGCACATGGTTTACAGAAAACCAAGATTTGGGAAAGATTAAAAAGCAGTGACTTATCTATGGAATCCAACATACAGCCAGGATCTGTCAGTTATTCATTCTGAAAACATTTCCTTCAGTTCTAGTTTATGCTGGAACCTGTGTTACTTAACAGAGTGAGATCTGGTCACATCCCCGCAGTCAAATAATGCCACCCTAAATATATCGCTAAATAAGTAATGTCACCCTAAATATATCGCTAAATAAGTAATGCCACCCTAAATATATCACTAAATAAGTAATGCCCCCTAAATATATCGCTAAAAAACTCAGGTGAGGATGAGGAAGGAAGGAGAGAGGTGCTGTGAAAGACCCACCGACGTCCTGATTCAGACAGAGCTCAGGGAAGGGGTCTCTGAGGAAGCCACTTTTAAGCAAAGTCTTTAAAGGGCCCAATCGCTCTTTTGAAGGATTACGCTAGGGCTCCTGAGATGTTTCAGTGGGCAAAGGTGCTTGCTGTGCAAGTGTAGGGCACCAAGTTTGGATTCTTAGAGCCTACACTAAGCTGAGGGCAGTTGTAAGCATCTGTGTTCCCAGTGCTGTTAAGGAGGAGAGATAGATTGGGGGGGGCTCTCAAGGCAGCTAGCCTAGCACACATAGTAGAAAAACAAGAGCCTCTTTCTCCTTAGGGGGAAGGCGAGGTCCAACTCCTGAAGTGGTCCTCTGACCACCACACATCTGCATGGACCACACGCTCCTGCGTCGTCCCCCGCCCCACACGAGACACATCACTTTGGTTTTGGCATGAACAGTAAACTGGACATTGGTAAACGAATAGAGCTATAAGACTGTCGGTTCAAAGTCTGGATGAGAGCTGGTGGTCCTCCAGAGAAGGTGGAGTCTTGACAATTTGGTGATAGCAATAGATAGGGAATCATGAGCTACAGGGTCAGGAGGACATGGTTGAGGATAGGCGTGTTGGCAGAGGGAGGCTGCACAGGTTTGCAGCTAAGGTGGAAGGAAGGACCAGGTGGCACTCTCCACTGTGACAGGGGCAGTGGGAGACAGTAAGTTCTGTACTGGAATCAAACAATGGGACTAGTGCCTCACCTTGTATTGACCAACTTCCTCTGTCTGCCCTTGGGCCCTCCGACCTCACATGCTCTCCATGCTGCCAGCTCCAAATGTTAGGAGACAGCATTCCACTCTTCAACACAACTCAAACAGCATTCCATCCTCAAATCCATTTCTGTTTAAGGATGCAATCACTGCTTTTATCCTTCTCTACAGGAGCATAGTAGACACTGGGAAATATTGTAAAATGAGCAAACATAGCCTGCTTTTGCCATGAAAGGAAAATTAGTAGACATTGGATTGAGTTAAAAGCCACAGGATCATACTGAAGTTCAAACTGTAGGAGTTTTAATATGAAGCCAATTTCATCAGTTTGATGCCGAGAAGTTTGCTCCCTTCCTCTGACTCACAGGGGGAAAAGCACAGGGGTGAGGCTGGGAAGGTAGGCCATCCCTGTTTCTGAGTACCAAAAGGTGTATCTTCCAATTGATTTTATTCTTATTAATCAAAGAATGAAAAGCAGAGGGGGAGGAAGGGAAGGAAGGGTAATGGTAGAATGGAGTAGGAGGGAGGATAGGAGAGGGAGGGGGAGAGGGAAAGGAGGTTTACTGACAACTACAACTACTGACAGCAAAAGAAATGCCAGGAGGATGGATGGGATGAGGGAAAGCAGGAGAAGTAGGAGGACAGAGAGTGGGAAAGAGGAAGGAAAAGAGACAGAGAGGAAGAGTATAACACGGTTCATTGTCCTGGCTGGTCTGGCTGTCCTTCAGGCCCAGATGAACACATGAGTGGTACATTAGTTATAAAACTGTTGGCAGGTGTCTTAATTATTAACCCATTTCTATTAATCCATGTATTTCTACGTGGTCTTGACTTACTGGAGAGCACCTGGCGTGCCCTCTCTTCCTGGGCTCACATGGCGACTCCTGTCTGCCTACACTTCCCAGAATTCTGTCTGGTAGTCTCACCTATCCTTCCTGCCTGGCCACTAGCCAAACAGTGTTTTATTCATTGACCAATAAGAGAAACATATATACAGAAGGACATCCCCATTAGAAGAAAAGTTAGCGATGGAGAGGAGAAGAGAAACACAAACTGACTATTGCATGAGCACAGGTGAAGAGCAAGAAAGGACTCAAGTCTTGCTCAGCCAGGACACAGCCAGGACAACTAATTAAGAGGTGCAGCTGGGATTTGAACCTGGAATCTGACTCCAGAGTCCTTACTCTAATGTGCTCTCCTAAGGTTGAGAATGGTGCTCCTATAAAGGAGGGTCTCAGTTTATTGACTGGGGAGTCCCTGGTCAGGAACCAGGAGGTCTAGAGTTCACTTTTGATTTCCTATTCAGTCTGACCAAGTCCATGTTTTTTTTCTATATAAAACAAGGGACCTGGATACTGATAACAGAAGTAATAATGAGGGATGGTATTCTTAATTCTGGTCTCTTTTGAAGCTTCAAAAAATTTCATCCCAGCTACAATGATACAAGAAAATGAGAGTGCATCAAGAGTAAATCACCTGCTAGAAACAAGAGAGTCAAGGTGTAAACATATGCTCTTCCACTGTGGTGGTGTGAATGAGAATGCCCCCCATAGGCTCCTATATTTGGATACTTGGTCTCCAGTTGGTGGAACTGTTTGAGAAGGATAAGGAGGTGTGGCCTTGTTGGAGGAGGTGTGCCACTGGACTTTTGAGTTTTTAAAAGACTTTCCATTCCCAGTGTGTCTCTCTCTGCCTCCTATTTGAAGATCAAGTTATGAGCTCTCAGATGTTCCTGCCACCATGCCTGGGCTCTACCATCACGGACTCTCAACCTTTGAAATCCTAAGACCAATTAAATGCTTTCTATTATAAGCTGTCCTGGTCATGGTGTTTTGTCACAATACTATAAAAGTAACTAATATATCCACTATACTCCATAGTCAAAGTCAAAGAAGATGCCTTGGAGCCACGGGTCACAGATGGGACACAGGGCTTCTCATTTGAGCAGCTCTACTTGTCTGAGTTTTGTAGCATGAACTCCTTTTGATATTTCCTTTTAAGAACAATTCTCTATCTGTGATGGCTTTTCTTGCTTGTCACCTTGACTACAGCTGGAATTAACTAAAACCCAAGCTGTTGTGCATACCTGTGAAGGATTTACTTTTCAAACTAGATCATTTGAAGTGGGAAGACATACCTATTATCCAGATCTTTGGAGGTGAGGAGATTCACCTTTAATCTGGGCCACACCTTCTGTTGGCAGCCTATATGCAGGACACGGAAGAAGGATGCTTGCTCTTTGCCTACTTGCTATCAATCTCTCTGGCAAGTTTATTCCTTTACTGGCATTGCTGCCTCCTTTTTGCAATTCTGGCACATACTGAAGACCAGTTGAGACATTCAGGCTAGTGGATGGAATGACTGTTGGAGTCTTAGACCTTCCATTGGTAGACAGCCATTGTTGGACTACCTAGACAGCCTGTAAGCCATTCTAACACACACACACACACACACACACACACTGCTGTTCTGTTCCTAGAAAGAACTCTGACTAATAATCTACCTAAAACCAAAAGTTTGAAAAATGAATGGACCAGAAAATTCTGTAACTTAATGAGACTCCCAAGTACAATTCAAGATTTTTCTGGCAATCTTCATTCATTATGATTACACAATGTAGAAGGAAAGTTGCTCTTGGGAATGGCACCTGTTTAGAAAAGGGCAGGTGTGGGAAGAGCTAGGGAAGGGGCCAGCACCTACCTGCTCCACTCGGATCTCAATGTCGCCATTCACTTTCTTCCCATGGAAATACTTTGACCTGCAAGGAGATCAAGAGACCTGCTCAATAAGGATGCACTTTCCCTTTTTCCATTTCCCAAAGACCTGACCCCTAAAGGTGTAAACCATGGTAATGTCAACCTGCCCCTGTCCTCCCCTGCCCACCATCTGCCTTGGTATTTAGATATAGAATGGCGATTAAGAGGAGGAAGAGTGGATGGAAACAGAGGAGACTCAACTTCCTGTGCCTCAATTGCAACCTCTAAAAGGAGGCTATGCTCCCTACTACTAGAGATCATTTAGCAGACTCAATCAGACAAAGAAAACATAGACAGTGCAGCATTGATTTGGTGGTGTTTATATGTACTACATCAAGGATTTTTCCTTATTTCTGCATCATGTGTCTAAGTGTCAATCACTAATCAATCCTTTCCTCCACCCAGTCCCCCTTTCATGACTCTATTCCACAAATCTAATTATCACCATGACATTGATCAAAGCAAAAGAGTAGATAGCATCCTTATGACCTTACTCTCCCTTTCCCTGAAGACCTTCTGACTTATTCTCAAGTCCTCCCACTTGCTGACTTGCCCACTCTCCTCCATAAGCACCTACTCCTGACCATAGGTATTCTCTCTTCTGACACGGACTGTCTTTCCTACTGTGGATTACAAGTATAATTAAAATCAGTAATGGTGCTTAATTTCTGTATCCCACTGAATGATAATAGGACTTCCTCAAGTCTGCGAGCCATCATTTTATCTTCAACACCACCAGAATGTGCAGCACACCACAGGAATGAATTGATTGTCTTTTGAATTAATGAATAAATGAATGACAATATCAATGTGTTGTAGAGTTTAATCTGTGGTCTTTTTCATTTAATGTGGATAACTGCCATCATGAAGCAGGCATTTTTATTTCTATCCTGTCCAGGAGGAAACTCAAAAGCCAGAGACTAAACATGTATATATCCTAAGGGGGATGTACACGCAGGCTTTCTTCTTTGAGTCTGTGCTTCTACTCAACCCTGAGAGTCAGGACAGAGGGTGTTTAGGGTTAGATATCTTCCCATATGTGATGTGAACGACCCAGTTGGCATTTCCCCTTTCTCATTGCTGCTGCAATGAAACAAATGCTTGAGTCATTTGCTGTGAACCAGACACCACATTGAGCATCTCTTCAAACCTTCTTAGGATTGGAGGCAGCATTTTTCTTCTTCCTAGCTCATTCTCTCCTTTTCCCACAGCAGAAATGTTTATGGATTAGATAAACATTTACCTAATGTGGTTCCAACTCTCCACTAAGTGACATGTGGCCTCAGGGCCCGTTCTAATCAATAATTTGTATGCATCACATTCAAGATCCTTCTCTTAAGTTTCTTCATTCTATTCTTTCCCTGGAACAGGGATGTTGCCAACTGTTTTCTCAATCTTTGTGAAAAATCCTTTCTACAAACTGTTCTACGCTGTCTGGTTTCACAGCCCCCATTGATTCTCAGTCAATGGCAGGTCTTCCCAAGACCTCCAGCATCCTTGGTTGACAACTTCGATGCTAGTGTCACTTTTTGTTACAGTATTGACAGACTAAGATGTCACTGAGGCTGGACTTTTGTGGAACAAGAATGCTTGGTATGACCTGAAAGTGAGGTCTGTCTGTCTGTTTTGTCTGTCTGTCATATTCTTTCTTTCCCATTGATGCTCTTCAATAAAATTCATGTTTATCTAGCCTCACACAATGCAGAATTTCATCACAAATCCTCAGCAAAGCGGTCAGCACATTCCATCCCACATCCAGTATTTGTGGGGTGCAGAGAAAAACAACAAATGGTCTATGAGGTGTAAGACTAATATTTAAAGTCGGTGAATATTCTAATTCAGTTCTGTTGCTGGGGTACAAAATCTGCCAAAATCAACTTAGAGATGAAGGAATTTTTTCCGTGTACAATTCCAGGTTACAGGCTATCATTTTGGGGAAGACAAGGCATGAACTCAAGCAGTCATAGCACATCCTCAGTCAAGATTAAAGATAAGATATATTCCTTGCCTGCTTGCCCTCATCTAGTTTCCTTTTGCAGGGAATGGTGCTTCTCACAATTGGCTGGATTTTCTCAATTAACAATTAGGGCAATCATCTATAGACATGCTTAGAGGCCAACCTTATTTAATCAATTCCTGCACTGATGCTCTTAGGCAATTCTGTATTGTGACAAGGTGACTTTTAAAACTAACTGTCACAATGAATAAGCTAGCAAACATCTAAATAAAATGTCTGCATTCCCTTTGATGACTACAGTTCACAGGTCACAAGGAGTTCTATCCAGACTATGGCAGCAACGCAACGACCAGCTCTCTCCATCTGTCTTGTAACAAATTCTGCTGTTCTCCCTTAATACTTGGCCTTCCCATCAACCCCGAGAGGGGATGGGACAGGGTCACTTCCTATATCCTGCAAACAGAGAAGTCACTTTTCAAAGCCTCAACTTTTCCAGTTGTCCATAGTTTCAGATTTTCAGGATTCAGCCCAGAACACCAAGTTCCTTCCTAATGGGGACCCTGGTACCAGTGGCCCACTTCATCCATGCACTGTCTTACTGGCCTTCCAGGGGCACACACATCCCCGGGACACTTCAGTGAGTCCTCTGCCTGGGTCCTTCCAGGGGCACACACATCCCCGGGACACTTCAGTGAGTCCTCTGCCTGGGTGCTTCGGGTCTTTTGCACAGGCTCACATCTCTTTCTTACTTTCCAGAGGCCTCATGGGTGATATCAGCTGTTTGGTTTTTTCTAGTAGCACCTGGCCTGGGTGCCCCTCCTCAGCCCCTGGGCACAGCAAACTCTCAACCCTTATGGTACCACTCTGCTTTGTAATTCCACATTATGGTCTGTTCCCTGCCTGCAAACATCCAGTCTGTGAGCTCCTAGAAACCAGGAGCTCTGTGCCAGTGTTCACGGCATGTGACAGCAGAAGTGTGTGTGGGGGGGGGGGCACAGGACTGTGCTTCCCTCCAGTTTCCTAGCTAGGTAAGTGAATAGTTTCCTTATCTCTGCACCTTTCCCTGTGATGTTTTGTTGCCACCTACTGACAAATCATTGGAATCCACAAATCTACATGTTTCATGATAGGGGTTCATTGTGTGGGTACCCAACCTGCAGTGGGCCTTGGACTTGATTCCAGCCTTGAACCCAGAATACTGCATTACATGCCACCCAATTATCTCTGGCCTTGGAGAGGCCTCACCTTCCCAGGAGTCTTTAAATGTTTACTTCTGGGGCTGGCAGGCGATCTCAGGCTGAGGTGAGGTCAGGCAGTCTATCCCCCTGCCTGGCTGGGAGTCAGAAGTCTGTCTCCTGATGGGCCACACAGACTGATGCCTCCTTGCTTGGGGGATGGGGTGAGGGTGAAAGGGTGGGCCCATTCATCCTGGTGCTGCCTCAGAACAGCCCTGTCTGGCAGAGGGAAGGGGAGGGATGGCCTAGAATTCTAGATGCCTTGGGGGTGGAGCCCACTGCCTCTGCTGCCGACTGGCTGTTTGACCTCAGGCAGAAACAGATGGGTCCATTGGCTTTGTCTCCCACCAACAGCCTCATTCCAGAGCCCTAATATGTCCATCCTCGGAGCTCCTCGAATAACTCAGCCAATCAACCAAATCCGTGGTCTTGCCCCGTGAAGAGGGCGGGAGCTCTGGATTCCAGGAGGCTTCTGTCTCTGTGGGTGGCCTCATATTTCACTGCCATATTCAAGGCACCAGGAAGGAGAATATTGTTAACCAGGGCTGCCTGGGGTGGGGAATCCCTAGCTTGGGGCCCGGGGATGTGGTGGTGTGTGAGAGTGATTTATGCGGAGTGGGCACTGAATTCCTTTCCTGCTGTAATCAGGGAACGAGCACAAATGGGATCTACCTGGATCAGAGCAGGACTCTCTGACAGATCCATCAGCCTGTGAAGTCATCGAGGCTAGGTTGGTTCTCTTACTTGAACCCAGAGCTTGAGGGATTCTGCTAGTCCAGCTAGCTATCTGGGATCCTCCTCCAGCCTCACTGCACCCTGGGATGCAGGCAGGGTGCACGGGCACTCGTTTACTAGAGCACTGAGGATTTAAACACTGGAGTGCTTTGCACATGTCCATGGCCCCAGGAAGCCTTCTTTGCACAATGATGGGCCATCTGCTGTGTGCAGAGCCTGCCCACGACAGAATTCCTCTCTGATCCTATAGTCAGGCTGGCAGTCAGGAAGCTCCTTTGTCTGCATTCCCCAAACTCTAGTCATAGGTGTGTGTGTGAGCATGCTGAACTTTCCTATGGATGCTAAGGATCGCAGGTTTTCATGCTTGTACAGCAAGCTCTCTTCCCCCTCTACCTTTGACTTATAAAATACAGAGGTCATTTCAAAAGCCCGGCTTCCCTTGAGCATCAGAAACTCGACAGCATCTGGCCTGTATTCACACATGGCAGTCGCTGGCTGAGTGGCCTGTAGCTGCTGCCTTTAGAGGCTGTCACACCTAGCACAGTCCCCATGGTTCTTAGTCATCTCCCTGCAGCTCAAGCCCGGTGGCTGATACCATTTCCCACGGAGTCTAAGCCGCTCTTTTCCTGGCCACAGGGAAGTATTTCTTCCCATCTGTGCGGTTCCCATCCAAGTGTCCCCGAACTGACAGACTTGCTTGTTCCCACAGGCAATCTCTGACTGAGCCGGTCGTATACACAACAACTAATGCCCCAAAGATCTCCAGGAAGCCCAGACTGGAGGCCAGGAGAGTGGACTGGAAACCTCATCCCTTTTCCTGCAATGGCAGATGATCCCCTTCTGCCAGTGAACACTGGAGGCAGGCTTCCACAGGCCCTGGGGGAGACATGGTCTGTAATGAGTTTTGCATCTGCCCAGAGACTTGCCTCTCCAGGGGCAGGTCTGCAACCAATGGGGTAAACCCTGGAGGCACCAGCTCAGATGCTGCTATTGCCCCAGCAGACTCAGGTCTCTGAGGACTTTTTAGAAAGGTCGCCAAGAAGACCTGGCCTGGAAAAATCCTGTTGTGGAGGGC